AGGAATGGAGACACAAATAAATGTATGAATACCAATCTTTGTGAGCTGGTTCTAGGAATGTAGCACTTGAAGAAGTTCGTTGTCTTAACCATCTTGATATCTTTATCTGTTTACAACATGCCAAAAATGTAACTGGCAACTAAATATAGGAAAAATCAAGGTCCAAGTAACAAAGCATAAAAAAATTAATTCTGTAAGGAAGGGGGAAAAAATTTTAAATGCAAAAAATATATTAATACATATGCGTAGTTCCCTTTAGCTTTTTGAGTGTTCATCTAAGTTGATGTTTGAGAAGATAATTTTTTAAGTTGGTCAAATATACAACAAAATACAAAAGAAAATTAAATAAACTAACAAAACATTTATATAACATAAAATCAAGTCTGCAAGAATCAGTAATTAAATTTGCAAAAGTTGTTAATTTAATGCTTTCCTTTAATAACAAGAATGTTAATTTTATTAGAAAGATTTCATCAACCATATCAGCATTTTGCCAAAAAATCAATATCAAATAAATAGAATCGGAATTTTTTTTGCAACATTTCATTCAATTATTTATGTACAAGCTAGGAAGCACACGGAACATGATCCTGCATTGCCTTAAATACAAGATCATTGCAAGGGAGCATTTGGCATCTAGTGGTCACTGTTCTTCCATAAAACCATAAATATGTGAGTGACATTAGACCGTAGCTTTTTTGGTTGATATAAAGGATGATCAACTGAATTTATTTTGACGTATTCTACAGGAAGTTCACTTGAATTGTAGGGGTCCAGAAAGGTCTGAGTTCATGTATCCACAACTTTCTGGATTTGAGGAAACAGAAAATAACTTAGCTTTAGATAGAATTGAAAATGTCATTACCATAAGAGTTGAGATGACGCTGACCTGGTCGACCTTAACCAACCAATACCATCAGTAAGAAATTATACAAACAGAAAGTTCTACATCATATCAATTGGGAAAAATGGGCATAATTATTTATACTGCACCTACCGTCTGCCACTTGCTCCGCTTCTGCTTCACCATGTACTTTAGTCACATCTTCATTGTATTCATTGTCATCCTCTTTGCCATCCTCATATTCATCGTCTTCGTCTTCGTCTTCAACAATCTCCATATAAACTTCGGCATTGTCATCACTGCCATGAATACCCTCCTCACCATTATCCTCTGACTCCATGTAATACAGGTCTTCACTGCTTTCAACATCATCCTCTTTGCTAGCTCCATCTTCATCAGTTGGTACCATTGGTATTAAATTTGTCAAAATAATGAATTAGCTAATAAAATTAATTGGGAAAAATGGGCAGAAATTAAATGCATAACTTACCAACAACCACTTGCTCTGCTTCTGCTCGACCATCTTCATTCTTATCCTCAACACTCATATTGACATGCCCAAGACCCTCCTTATCGCAACCTGACAGCCCTAATGGTTTGACATCAAATAAATTGTCCCCATCGTATTGGAACACGAGGACGTCTCCTGATTCCAAAGAGTTATCTTCAACAAATTTTTCCCAGCCATACCAAAAAAAACAGTCATTGTCAATTTTGGCCATTTTTATAGGCCACAGATTTGTGTAATAATCTCAAAGGAATGCTCTCTCTGGTAAAGCTCCTTGTAATTGTAAACTAAACGCTGCTGGAAGTTCCTGCAAACAATAAGTAAAATGGAATTAGATCATAGCAAAACTCTTTAAACATTGAAGAGCCATTTCTAGTTAATGCATTTTTTCCCAACTGTCATGAATCTGTTTTTTAGATCTTTACGTATCTATACTCTGAAAGCACAAAATAGAAAAAAAAAAAAAAATCTCCAGCATCAGTGTAGGCTTTTCAAAATTTAGTACGGGAGCAGGACCATATCTTTTTATGTTGATTTTATGAAATTTTAGTGGTATCATGTAATTCGATCACAAGCTTGCTTTGGTCCTGCAGATTTTGATGTTGTCTTCAAGGCATATAAAGTATTTTTATGTAACTCATGACATAATAAATCTTTGTGGCTTAAAGTTATTTACTTTCTAACAACTTTTTTTTTTTATCCATTCAAACGATACAAAAGGCACAAAATAAACCCATCACCCAAAATTTCATTATATTCAACCACAACAACGTATAATATGAAATGCTATTAAATCCTTGTGGTAAAAAGGAGATAAAACGATACAAAATAAATTTTAATTAAGAACAAAAACCAGGATCCTTAAAACAAATATTAAAATTTAACAAAAAATGGTAGAAACACAGATAAATATGTATTAATACCAATCTTCTTGAGCTGGTTGTAGGATTGTAGGAATTGAAGAAGTTCATTGTCTTGACCATCTTGATATCTGTTTACAGCATGCAAAAGATGCAACTAGAACTCAATATACGAAAAATCAATATTCAAGTGACGAAGCATAAAAAAATAATGTGCAAAAAAAATTGTAAATGCAACAACATATATTAATAGATACGCCTTTTAGCTTTTTTAGAGTTCATCTAAGTGTATATTTGGCAAAGATAATTTTTGAAGTTGGTGAAATATACATTTTACCCATTCGTGAAGCTGCTTATTCACAGTAAAACCCACAACTACGCACTATAATTAAATACAAAAGAAAATAAACTAAATGAAAAAAAACATTTATATAACATAAAATCAAGTCTACAAGAATCAGTAATTAAATTTGCAAAAGTTACTAATTTAATACTTTGCTTTAATGACAAGAATGTTGATTTTATCAGACAGGTTTCATTCAATGTATCAGCCATTTTTCCAAAAATCATTATTTTATCTAATAACGAGAATCGGTCATTTGTTTGCCGCATTTCATTAAATTCTTTAACTACAAGCTAGGAAGCATGCCAAACATGATCCTGCAATGCAATAAATACAAGATCATTCAAGGGATCATTTGGCATCTAGTGGTCACTGTTCGGCCATAAAACAAAAATATGTGAGTAACATTAGATCATAGCTTTTTGAGTTGACATAAAACATAAATATAAGTGACTTCATATATCCACAACTTTCTGGATTTGAGAAAACAGAAAACTAACTTGGCTTTAGATAGAATTGAAAATGTCATTACCATAAGAGTTGAGAGGACGTTGATGACCTTAACCAACCGATACCATCAGTAAGAAATTATACAAACTGAAAGTTAAACATAAAATCAATTGGAAAAAATTGGCGTATATATATATAGAACTTACCATCAACCATTTGTTCCGCTTCTGCTTCACCATCTTCTTGAGTCGCATATTCAATTTTTCAGTGTCATCCTCATCTTCAGTATCCTCAACTCGGACTTCCATAATCTCCTTGTAAACTTCGGCATTGTCATCACTGTCATGAATACCCTCCTCACCTTCATCCTATGACTCCATGTAATATAGTTCTTCATTGCTTTCAACAACATCCTCTTTGCTACCTCTATCTTAATCAGTTTGTACCATTGGTATTAAATTTGTCAAAATAATGGTTTACCTAATAAAATTAATTGGGAAAAATGGGCAGACAAGAAATGCATAACTTTCCATCAGCCACTCGCTCTGCTTCTGCTTGACCATCTTCATTCTTATCCTCAACACTCATATGGAAATGCCCAAGACCCTCCTTATCACAACATGACAACCCTAATAGTTTGACATCAAATAAATTGTCCCCATCGTATTGGAACACAAGGATGTCTCCTAATTCCAAAGAGTTGTCTGCAACAAATTTTTCCCAGCCATCCAAAAAAAAACAGTCATTACCAATTTTTGCCATTTTTATAGGCCATAGATTTGTATAACAAACTCGAAGGAATGCCCTTTCTGGTAGATCTCCTTGTAATTGTAACCTAAACACCGCTGGAAGTTCCTGCAAACAATAAGTTAAATGGAATTAGGTCATAGCAAAGCTCTTTAAACATTGAAGAGCCATTTCTATTGTTTAGATATTTACGTATTAATACTCTGAAAGTATAATTAGAAAAAAAAATCTTTAGCATCAGAGCAGGCTTTTAAAACTTGAGTTCCGGAGCAAGTCCATATTTTTTTGTGTTGATTTTATAAAAAATTAGAGGTATCATTTAATTCAGATCACAAGCTTACTTTAGGCCTGTAGATTTTGATGTTGTTTCACGGTATATAAAGTATTTTTACGTAATTCTTGACACAACAAGTCTTTGTGGCCTAAAGTTATTTACTTTCTAACAAATTTTATTCATAAAACCGTCACCCGAATTTTCATTATACTCGACCACAACAACATATGCAAGGAAATGCTAAGCATATTAAATCCTTGTGGTAAACACGAGATAGAAATCCTCGTGTGCAAAATGAGATAAAACCATACAAAATAGAATTTTGATTAGGAACGAAATCCAGGGTCCTGAAACAAAATTTAAATTTAAAAGAAAAAAAAAAAGAAACTCAGATAAAAATATATGAATACCAATCTTTGGGCACCGGTTGTAGGATTGTAGCACTCGAAGAAGTTCACTGTCTTAACCATCTTGATCTCTGTTTATAGTGTACAAAAATGCAACTGGCAACTCAGTACACGAAAAATCACGATCCATGTGATAAAGCTTTTAAAAAATTTGTGAAAAGCGAACAAAAAATTTGTAAATGCAACAATATATATTAATAGATATGCCTAGTTCCCTTTAGCTTTTCTAGAGTTCATCTAATGCAACTGGAAACTCAGTACACGAAAAATCACGATCCATGTGATATAGCTTTAAAAAAAAAAAAATTGTGAAAAGAAACAAAAAATTTGTGAATGCAACAATATATTTGTACGACGGATTTCGCGTATTAAAATACAGAAATCGTTACAAACTGTATTTTGACAAATACAAATAGATATGAATCTTCTTGTAATTGCAAAACCCTCTGATTAATTATCTGAATGTTTGAAGACGAGGAGTCACGTGACTTGAATCCTAGGTTTCGAGATTTGTTGAGAATTTGATTTGTCGAGAACTTGACTTGTTGACACTTGAATTTTCGAGCTTGGATTTGCACTTCGAAACTTGGGCATGATCTTGATTTAATTCGAAGAAGATTTTGATCTTCTTGCTTTTGATTGATTTGAGGAAGATTTTAATCTTCTTCATGTTCGCCGGACTTAAGGTTGAGAGGATTTCTTCTCCTCCTTGAGTTTCAGCACTTATTGATTTTTATTCTTCGCTTTTTCCTTCCCTTTTCTTTATGGACATTTGGTCCTATTTATAGGAAAATCGGTGAACAATTTTGGTATCCCTTAATTAATTCAATCATAATTTATTATAATTAAATAATTGTGGATTTTGAAAGAGTGGGACGGGCCTTTAAAATTTCATGGGCCTTAGTAGGTTTTAGTTTGGGAACAACACATAAATCAGGTTTTTAAGTATCACCATTTCAAATTTAAGGTTAGAGGTTTTAAATTTCAAAAATCAAGTTTTCATTAAAATTTATTTGTGAATTAATTAATTAATTAATCACATATTTTATTAATAAATATATAAATGTCACGGATCTATGCAATTTGGTCACCATTCAAAAATTTTAAGGTCATAATTAAAAAAAAAAATTTAGGTCATAGTTCGTTCATCGATCACAAATTAAAAATGTAAAAGTCCCAATTTGTTCATCGAATACAAATCACAAAATTTATAAGTCACACAACTTATTTTATTGTCACAAAACATCAAATTATAGGTCACATATTACTTTTATTAGTCACAAATTAATAAATTTGTAGGTCACATGATATTTATTGGTCACAATTTATTCTTTATTAGTCACATACCAACCAATTTATTGGTCACAATCAACAAATCATTTGTGACCATCACCAACACAACACCACCGTCGTCTCAGCCGCCAACACCACAGAAACATACCACACAAACCACCACCGCTGCCACTACCAACACCATCCCCCAACAACCTCCCACCCCCAATGAAAATGACCACACCACCACAACCAGAAAATGACCTCACCACCACCACCCCCCCAACAACCACCATGAACCTCTACACCACGCAAAAACACACAGAACCACCACAACCACATCCAAATTGGGAAAAAAACCCTCCAGATCGGAAACCACTACACCCAACCCCCACCACCACATCTAAATCGTCGCACCTCTTGCACATATCACAAACCTCCACCACCAATTTCAGCCTCCTCTGCACATATCACAAACCCCGCAGTCCTCGCACAGATCACAAACCCCACAGTTGCAGCCACATCCACACCAATTTCAGCCTTCTCCGCTTGATTTTCATCAGCACCTCCCCTTTGCTTAGCCACTTATCGCTTTAACCTCCCTACGACGGTAATATGCCAGATTTCGACATCGACGGCGAGAAGAAGAGAGAGATGTGATAGAGAGAGAGGGGAAGAAGAGAGAGGCGAGAAATGAGAAAGATGACCAAATGAGAAAGAAGGAGAGGTTGGAGAGAATGTGATAAATGATTTTTTTGATTTTTAGGGTTTGGATAATTATAATTTAGATAGAAATGAATTAATACTTAATATTTGAAATGAGATACTTGATTTTTGTATAAATAAACTCCAACCCTGATTTTTGAATTGAAAATTTTAAATACGAGTGTGGGTGTAATTTCCTCTTTTAGTTTAGTAAACTTAATTAGGCTAATTATTTAAATTGACCTAACCCATTATTTGACATTTCATTTATTTATTTATTTTATGTCTACAAATGCCTCCCTCAAGATTTATTTATTTATT